ATATATATATATATATATATATATATATATATATATATATATATATACACACAAAAGTTTATATTTGTGCTATGAAGTGCATTTATTGTGGGGTTCACTGCATGAATGCTTTCTAACCAGGGCTCATGGGGTATTGCACAAGTCTCCGAAATATGAGAGGTGCTGACATAAGAGCCGTGTTCTTACACAATGTTAACACCCACCAACGCCATACCAGAGATGGTATTTTTGACCTCCTCTGTAGTGACACGTCGTTGAAGGCCGTAACACGCGCTGTTTGTTTGTGTCGAGGAACCGCTGAGCAAGAAACGATGAGCCCGGTGACTTCCTCCTTCCTGAAATCCATGCTCGAGCTGAGTCAGAAGACTGTAGCTCTGAATATAGGCCATGTTTTTGTTCGCAGACCTCAGTAACCAATCCCAAATTCCTGACACATTACTGCACAGCGTTATAGTGGAGACAGGTCAGCTGATAGTTGCAACCAGGCTCTGATGTGTCAGTTTTATGCCACTTATTTACGGTTATGAGCGTGCAATAGGAATGTAGGTGTTCCAGGTCTTCAGGGAGTGTACGAAATGTTTATTATTTGTTGCGGTCAAAACTTTGCATGGACACTTTAAGTAGCTGTGTTCAGAGGCTGACTTTAGGTGTGGTATTAGAAAAACAGAGGCCGCTGATGTTGACAGTCAACCACCCTGCAGCAGCAAACCTTCCTTTTGATGCTTCCCTCCCAAATGTCCACAGTAGTCAGATGGATTTATGGAAAGCTGTCAGAGGGATTATTCCCTATCTCCACTAAAATTCTCCATCAGGCAAAACACGAGGTAATCCTACAATTTAGAAGAAACGTATTATTTCAAATCTTTCCAAAGTCCTCCCTGAGGGGAACATAAGGAAATCAATACGACATTAATGATCTACTGAGACGGTTTGTGCACGTCAGCAGAGTCAGGGCTGGTTCCTCTCCTCTGTTTACATCTCTCTGACAGCATTCGTTTCATTGTCGTTCGTCTGGAACGTCTTGTTCTATTTGCATCCTGCGTTACCTGTTTGACCCGTCAGCAGCTCTCCAGCTTTGTTATCTACAAACTGAATTAGCATACACGGAAATGCCATGCAGCAGCAGCAGCAGCAGCAGCAGTAGTAGTAATAATCAATAATAGAAGGAGAATACATGACATCAGGGATGTGTTCACAGCCTCAAATCAAACCCTCCATACTGCACTTTATTTTTATCCGTCTGTTCACAGTTGCCACCAGCAAGGCAAAACGTGTTGTCAAGGTAACCTCCTCTCCTGCTAGAACCAGAATCACTAAAATGATTTCTGATTTGTCCTGCCATGGCAACAGGGAAGAGACTTAAAATACATGTGAGAAATTCACAAATATCAAACCTGGATCATAGATTCAAAGCCGCGTGCGTGTGCATGTGTGTGTGTGTGTGTGTGTGTGTACTTGGTGAGTAAGATGAGTTTAATATCCATGTTGCCTTTTCTTTTATTTACTCCCATGACTCACTCATTGATATGTATGCAGCTGTGAGGCTGGAGGCACTTTTACTTCTTCACATATAAACGTATAGTTTTCACCTGATATCTTCTGGGATCATTTCAGATTCTCAAATCTAATTGATTCGTCCATCAACAGAAATATCTTTATTATCGATTCATCCTTTAAGCATTGGTTGGTTCCATCTTCTCAAATGTGAACATGCTTGCAGGAACAGCTTGTTATAATTAAAATTAATCGGGTGTATATTGTGTTACGACACACATGATATCCGTCCTGATGGTCAGCTTCAGAAACTCTAAAATAGTGACTACTATACAGTATGTTGAAGCTTTTTCTTGCTCAAAGACCCTCATTCAGTGGCTGACATATCTGTTCTTTACAGGAATAAACCTCTCACCTCTCTCTCTCCGTTTTGTCTTCCAGCAGCGAGCGGCCAACCGGCCGAAGCCTAAGGTGGGGACGTCGTCGTCGTCGGCCGTGAAGCTGCCGTCCAATCGCAGCTCATCCGGAGCGAGACGCCGGAGGACACGATGTCGGAAGTGCGAAGCGTGCCTCCGGACCGAGTGTGGAGAGTGTCACTTCTGCAAGGACATGAAGAAGTTCGGAGGGCCGGGGCGCATGAAGCAGTCGTGCATCATGAGACAGTGCATTGCGGTAAGTTTTGTTGGCATCTTCAAAAAGTAGCACTTTCATTTTTACCCGTTTTTATATTTGACAACGGCTGTGTATTCAAAAAACTAGCAATGTGCAGTCACAGAAAAAGAAAACAAAAGTCATTATATAATATGGTTTGTTGAGTTAAATGTATTTTTTCTCCTTCATGCAGCCGGTTCTGCCTCACACAGCGGTGTGTGTGGTGTGCAAAGAGGCGGGGAAAGAGGACACACTGGAGGAGGAGGAGGACAAGTTCAACTTCATGCTGATGGAGTGCTCCATCTGCAACGAGATCGTCCATCCCAACTGTCTCAAGGTACAGAGGGCCAGGCTGGGAACATTCGAACAACCTCACCGTAGTTAAGTCACTCTCTGGCTGACTCATTCCTGATGAGTGTGTGCCAGGAATCCCAGTTCTTTGTAACGTAATGTGAGTGACTCAGACGTTTGGACCGTAGTCACTGGATGTGGTGTTGTTTATATAACTGAACACACTCATCACTATTATGTTTTTATGGCTCAAATGTGTTTGAGGATCCGACTCCTGCCGCATGCTCAAGAACACAAGTGATTAAGAATACAAGTATTTACCGAGTCACCAAAAATGTCGCCTCAAAAGGATGTGAAGCATCGGACCTCACTAGTAAAACCATTTCGTGATGTAAAGCAGCACACGCCCTGTTTGTAACCAGGCGTGTACAGGCTCGGTCAAACCAGTTTTTCAGACGAGCACTGTCTAGTTGTTTAGTAGCAAGCAACAACTAAGATATTTATTCATGTTTTATACATAATAACAAACACCAATTTGGACATTATATCCATTCAGAGATGCTTATTTAACCGTCTCACGTCGCAGTGTTTAACTCTACTTCCCTTCTCTATGTATGTTTGCTGAGGTTAAACTGTGCTAACCTGCCTAGCAGACGGTCTCTTTCACTTCCCTTATCGTGTTTGTGTTTAAAAACAAAACAACTCTACCTAGGAGTCCGTTAAAGCTTGTTGTTCTGGTTTGAATCCGGCTCATTTTCTTGTCGGTTTGTCAGGTGAGCGAAGCCTCAGGAGTGGTGAACGATGAACTTCCTAACTGCTGGGAATGTCCCAAATGCAACCATGCTGGGAAAAGTGGAAAAGTGAGTACAAATAGGTGCATGTCTGTCACAGCCTTAGGTTATGTCACAGTTTACTAAGTGTTGGAAGTGTGCTCACTCTGAAAACAGTAAAATAATTACTTCAGAGATTGTGTATGACTCATAGATAACAGGTGATTTCATTCTTCTGTATTGCTTGCAGTAATTCAATTTATGTGTGCCACTTCCTGTTTATACTTTTCTACTTTGTGAAAGTAACTCACATGTGACTCTTGTTTGTCACAGAAGCAGGAAACCACTGACTAACACATGTTTTGAACACAGTGACACACTTTATTAAACCTCAGGCACACTTGTAGTACAGTCGGTTTGCCTGTCCGCTATAGGCTAAAGGTATAAAGTTGTCTCGCAATTTTTTTTGTCCCCTTTGGTATTGAAGCAAAAAAGGGGTCCGGGGTTCAAGTACGCCTCCAACCTCCCTGGCTCTCTGCTGAGGGAGCAGAAGCCTGTGAAGGAGGAGGGGGGCGACGTTTCTTCTGCAGCCAAGAGGAGGCCAGACCGAGAGGAGACGCCCAGGTACAGACCCGAGGAGTCTCTCCACCGACAGCCACCACTGCTCTCCCCCAGCAACCTGCCCCGGCCCAGGCCTGAGGACAAGCTGAGGAAGAAGAGGAAGCTGTTTGATGACGATGAGGAAGAGGATCTCGGTGTGAGGAAGAAGGTTTGTGTCTTTTTACAGAGGGACTGATTTCATTTTTAGACATTTTAGATGCAAGTGTGCAAGTGATTCTCATACCGTTTAATTTTTTTTCCTGAAGGAAAAGTCCGATGATCCTTATTTTTCCAAACTTCTACACCAAATCAAGACCGAGGAGGACGACGAAGACACTTATTATGAGGAGGACGATGAAGAAGGAAGGGGGCCTCACTTCCGGGGCCTTTTAGAGAGGAAAGGGCGTTTTGGAGACACTGAAGAAGAAGGGGATGAAAGGGACGCCAGGAATGCACTTTTGAATCCCTGCATTAAAACACCCGTTGGCGACAGCGACCAGTCCCTCTGCAGCTCTCCGCAGGCCGGCCCCAGCAGCGAGGGCGGAAGTGAGACCCAGGAAAAAGGGCCGTGTCCTAAAGCTCGCCGCAAGCGCCGATTGCCCAACCGAGAGCTGAGCCGGGAGCTGAGCAAAGCACTGAACCAGGAAATCCAGAAGACGGAGGACTGCCTGGCCAACGAGAACCGCCAACCTCTCAAGGTGGAGCCGGAGACGGAGAACGAGGAGCCCAAGAGGTTGTTCCGCAACGGCAGTGAACTCGGGGACCAGAGGCCCCACCTCAAGACCAAAGAGATGAACGGGACCCCCTGGGAGCTGCGCCACTTCTACCCGAGTCAGATCACTCCGCTGGGCTTCAACCGGAGCACCCCGACCAACCGGCCGGTACCCCCACACTCCCCACCGAAGTGTGTCCAAATGGAGCGGCACGTCATCCGGCCCCCTCCGATCAGCCCGCCTCCCGACCGACTGCCTCTAAAAGACGGTAAAACACACGTGATACAGCGCGAGGTCTGGATGAAGATCTTTGGCTATCTCACGCACCAGGAGCTGTGTGTCTGCATGAGAGTTTGCAAGACGTGGAACAGATGGTACGTGCACGGCGCATGTTTACATTTTTATGTACAAATGTACAAATCTTTAAAGAAATAATATGTGACAGAAATCTTTCTTTCTGATGTCAAGGTGTTGTGATAAGAGACTTTGGACGAAGATTGATCTGAACCGCTGCACCTCCATCACTCCGCTCATGCTCAGTGGGATTATCCGCCGACAGCCACTTTCTCTGGACCTCAGCTGGACCAACATTTCCAAGAAACAATTAAGCTGGCTCATTAATAGATTGCCAGGTACCTAATTAATAGTGATTATTGATCTCTTTTTTTCTTTGTGTGTCTCTTGCTGTGCGTCAGTATTTGAAAGTGCTGCTGTGTTTTTCAGGTTTGCGAGTGTTGCGGCTATCGGGGTGCTCTTGGGCTGCTGTGTCTGCGCTCTGCACTTCCAGCTGCCCTCTGCTGCGCACCTTGGACGTCCAGTGGGTGGAGGGCCTCAAAGACCCACAGATGAGGGACCTGCTTTCACCCCCCACAGACAACAGACCAGGTAACTCGTGGGGCAACAAAGAACAAGCACTGCCATGGATGAGGGGTTTTATTCCTGCCTCCCATGCTTTAATGTATTTATAACAACTCTTAGGGATTAATTCAGTCATGGGGGCTCACATTGCACCTGTTACCTACCAGTGCATACTCCAAATTAGAGGTTTATTCTGTAAAACGGATTATTTTGCCTGAAAAACAGGCATGTTTTCCCCTCAGACCTCCTTCAGGTTTAGGTTTTAGAACTAAAACACAGCTTTAAAAATAAAGTTTAGTGTGACTCCTCATTTCCAGCTTTTAGCTATCCTAAAGATCCTTGTAGACTGTCATACACCTGTTGACAGGTACTGACCCTTGATGTTTCTTATGTGATCGACAGGTCAGCTGGATAACCGCTGCAAGCTGCGGAATGTGGAGGACCTGCGGCTCGCGGGGCTCGACATCACCGACACGTCTTTACGTCTCATCAGTCGGCAGATGCCCTCTCTGTCCATGCTGGACCTGAGCTACTGCAACCACATCAACGACCAGTCGGTCAACCTGCTGACAGCAGCAGGGACCACGACCAGAGACTCCCTCACAGATATCAACCTGTCAGGTGAGACCAGAGCAAAAGTAGAGTAGGAATACAACTATTGTAGTGGTTCATGAGTTGTAAAGGGGCCTGAAAAGGGTGATGCAGCAGTAAGTTAGATGCTTCCACTCACAAGTCAGTTTCTCAGAGGAACCGGTCGCTATGTTGAGGGTTTTTTTAAAGACCAGGCAGTGTCTATCACATCCTCAGTAATCCATGAAATCAGCAGTTGAAGATAAAAATGATCTTAACAGATAAAGAGTTTAAAGCAGGATATTCCAAATGACAATCCAAAGGCATCAGAGTCAATTAATTAGAAGAGAACAAGAGGATGGGGAGTTGCCTGGGTCATGTTTATTGTCCCATACGTAACTTTGTCCTCAAGTTTGTTTTGTTTTCACACATTTGCTACTGAACAAATGCCACAACATGAAATGGAATATAGTTAACGGTGAAAGCTGTAGTTGCCCGTCATCATTGTAAAGTGAGACTGTCCGTTGGGTCCAGTTTCAGTAGAGCCCATGGGGGGACATGACAGGACCGTGTAAGAGTTTTGTTCCATAAATCTGTTAATGTTGACATTATGCATTAAGAACAGAGAGAGGGAAAGATAATGCCGTTTTTTTAGTATACCAAGTTTGTGACAGATTTCTGTTCTCTCTGTTTTCCTTTTTAGTTTGTAACCGAGTCACAGATCATTCCCTAAACTTTTTCAAGCGCTGTGGAAGCATCTGTCAGATCGACCTTCGCTTCTGCAAGCAGGTGTCCAAGACGGCCTGCGAACGGTTCATCGCAGAGATGTCTGTCAGCGTACCGTTCAGACTGAAAGAGGACAAATTGCTGCAGAAGACCAGCTAGTTCCTAACAGGACAACAAAAATGAACGAAAGACTGTCCTTGCACTTAATGGAACAAGTTTTTTCTTTTTAAACTGGTCCTGTGTCCCGAGTCCTCTGCATCAATGTCACAGTAAAGGAACTGAACTGAGAGATGGGTTCCTGGATGGACTTAAGGAGGTGACAAACATTCACTGGACAGATAAAGAGGAGACGGCATGCATGCATTTGTGTTGCGATTGTACTTTTATAAAGACGTGCTTGTATTTGAGTTTCGGGTTGTTTTATTTTTATTCTTTAAATATTTGAAAACGCAGCATTTTTTTTATACAAGTATAATTTCACGAGTTTCAGTGTCTCGTGAGATGAATATCACGGAGAGACTGCATGTGAACTGAAAAGTTTGCCTTTATACAAAAGTGTCTTGTGTGCCAACATCTGTATTTGACATTAATGTAACTTCAATATCAGACAAAAAATAAGCTGTACAGATATAAATATGACTAAATTATCATAACTACTTCCCAAATATTTAGAATGTATTTCAAGAATGATTTAAAAACAAAGCTATCAAATTGAATATCCCTGTTCCACCCTCGTGTCTTCACTTACCTTAATACTTTAATAAATTGTTGAGTGTTGTGTTTAACAGGCTTTTCTCTGACATTTCAACGTTAATTTATTGATTTATTTTTACAGTCTGTATTTATTCCTTTTATTAAGTAACTTCACGTGGATCTCTCTGAGCTGGGTCAAATAATGCATCGCCCAAAAGTCAGCGGCAGGAAGTCGCAGCCATAGCAAACGTGTGACTGACGATTCATCTAACAGACTTATCTATAATGTTCTCAACCACACACACACGCGTGGTTGCTCCAAACAGGTTTGAGAAACACTTCATATCGCTAATTTGGTTTAAATAATGACTCCATACAGTAGGTGTTGTGTGTATCTTGGGGTGTGTTGTGTTGTGCTGTAACCTATCACCTCGGGTGAATGTGATAATGTTTATATTTGTAAATCCAAAAACTAAGTGCTAATATGCATTAAAAGAATTTCATTTGTACCACCGCTGAGTCTTGTCGGTCTTCATGTGCCAGGTTGATCTGTATTAGAAGCAGAGGTCAGAGGTTAGTGCGTCGTGTGACACTTCTGAGGTGACCGCCTCAGTGTGGATATTTGCTCCCAAATAATGTCTGACAACATAAGACATTTCTGCTCTCCAAAGACTGAATGCTAGTGTCTGTCTACTGGATGGATTGACCTGACATTAGTACACATATTCATATCTCCCGCAGGATAAACTGTAATCACTCTGATGATTTATTAATTTAACCTTTAATGCATCTGATGAAATTCCTGCAACACTGATGACATTCTCATTGGCCTCAGCTGTGTTTATTGCTCATTAGCAAATGCCAACACGCTAAACTTGAATGGTTAACACATGAACACTACACCTGCTAAACATTAGCACGTTAGCACTGTCACTGTGAGCGGTTAGCATTTAAAGCTCAACGTTTTGCCTGTGAAATATCTGCCCCAAAACAGCCCGATGTGATATTTTAAAATGACTAGACCAAAACCTAAACAATTACAATATTAAACAGAAATCCTGCAAGTCCTCACATTAGACTAGCTAACACCAGTGAACTTTGGGTTAAAAATTACCAAAATTGTTGATCATTTGGCTTAATCAATTACTCAACTGACCATTTCAGCCCTAATTACTACTTTATCCACGGTAATACAGGGACACTGCTTGTGACGCACGAGTATACAAAAAACAGACTTTAATTAAAATCTTTTAATTACCAAAATAAAAAGTTTAACATTCCCAAATACAAAGACCAAACCTTGCACACGCTTACACCCTCTCTAAAGAAAAGTGCAACCTGCTCTGCTACTGTTCAAGATTGTAGAGGGGATCTTTACTCTAATAGCAGCAATGTTGTGTGGGTGCAGTCCAGAGCTGGATACTTCTAAATGGGGGGGGGGGGGGGGATGTAACATTACCAGGTTCTGGTCATACTCTGGTTCAAGAGGCAACTTTAGCTCAAGCAAACCGAAGCAGATGCATTTCAAACCGTTTGACTGGAAACTAACGCTGTAATAATAAAACTAACCCAATCCCAGACATCTCAATAATCTGATGTTACACAATTTAAATGAAATGGAAAAGAAAAAAAAATGTATATATATATATATATATACACACACACATCTCATATGGATCCTTCTATGCAAATGCACATTAGCAAGTCATGATTTCTATACACCTTCTATACCACAGGTGTCAGTAAACTCGTAGCTATATCTTTGAATAGTTAGTTCAATACATCACTCCTACAGAAGAGAAAATCAACTAGAAAGCATTAAGACACTTCATTCCACTCCCAACAATATACGACAATAACAAAAATGAACATTCAGAGTTTCACATCCACAGTTCAGATGGAAAACCGGGACAATGGTTGTATGAGTTAGCACCGATTTTTGTCTTTTGTCTCAAAGTGCTGAGACAGAGGTGACAGTGGGGGTTAGCTATTGCTATGACGACAGACTTTGTACGACCATTTTAACGTGTAATGCATGACAATATGCGCTTATATAACAAATAAGTGAATATAATTGATAATGCATTGACTTCATCATAAAATCACCAATATCCTTGAGTTGCAAAAGCAAAGCACAACTTTGTGGGCTGAGTAACAGGAAAAGAAACTCAGTGATTTCTAATTCACTTTTTCCTCTGACTATTCAGAGTATTCAAGAATTAGCACACATGCTACCTCAGCCACTATTACCGCTCAACGTTTGCAGTGGGTTGTGAGCAGTGGTGCATTAACACACAGTGTTTTCTGCTAAAATGTGCCACACACACACACATACATAGTCGGGTGCGAAGCTTAAGGGCATGATGACCTATTACTTGGCACCTTGTTCTTCTCTCCTGTGGTGAGGTTTGCTATGTGTCTCTCCTTGGTGTTACTAAGATATGTAGTCCCTTGCAGTGACAGTCGTGAAGAGAGATGTTCTGAAGCTACAGTTTATAGGCAGATCTGAGGGTGACCAGTTGTGTTTCAAAAAAGACTGCACGTGGCTGAGTGCCACACATTCTTTGCTTTGAAAAAAATATGCCAGAAAAGCAAAACAGACACTTTTGGAAACGAACACAGATATGAGATATGTTTACTTGAGAGTTGACCGTTGCTCCTGTCCACTGGTGAAACTGAAGACAATTTCTTAAGAAAAACACATTTGTCGTAATATTGCAATGTGCAAATAATGTGAGAGGAATACAAACATAAGAGAATCTACAAAATAAGTCTTTTGGGGATCCAAAGGTTATGAGCTGCATGGTGGATGTAAGGTGCAGTATCAGTCTGAGCTGCTGCGGCGTTGCAGTGATGCATTAGGACTTGAAGACGTGCACGGCCCTCACGACGTACTGCCGGCAGATCGGGCACTCGTTCATCCTCTTGCCGCACTTGGTGCAGGTGACCATGTGACCGCACTCCAGGAGAACGCAGTCGATCGTCGCGTCCATGCAGATCCGGCAGAGGCTGTCGTCTTGGATCGTCAGCGGACCCTTCTCACCGTCTGATAAAGACACAGACAGGTTGGGAAACTGATTTTAACGCAGCGCTAAAAAACAAAACAAAGTGATATAACATGCACTGAGGAAGGACAAAGGGCCGGCAACACAGAGTGAATATACACAGCTGACATACTGCAGTTCTCAGTATGATGTGCTTCACACGTTGAAGCACGTGAGTAGATGACAGAGGGAGATTAACCTCACGGTGGATCAATGTTCCTGGATCATGACAGAACTGAAATGGCTGTACTTCGAGAAATGATTTAATCATTTCATCCCCAGTAAAATGGCCGGAGACCCTCACAGTGACTGGCATTCCACAGGGACGACCACATGCAAGGATTTCATAAAGAGGACAGTTGGATTAACGAATGAGAATGGGTTTCACGGTGAATACAGATGTGGTGGCGACACTGTTCGTACGATGGAGAGGCGAGTTACAGGTGGTGCATGTGACCATGGCATCTGTAAGCCTTACCTGAGAGGGCCCCGTTGCAGATAGGAGGGGGGAGGGGCTCCACTTTAGTGTGGGAGGAGTAAAGCAGGCAAGAGACATACCATCATGATTCTGAATGAGAAAACTCATTTGAATGCTTATGATTGATGCATCTTATTGCATTTTATTATTATCTACAGTATATCATATTGTCAGAGAAGGCAGAGATATTAGGTTTCTATGGTTATAAAAACAGGACGTGGTTTACAATACCGACATCTAGGACAGTGCACACAGTTGAGTGACAGCTTACCTGTGGTTACAGTAGTGCTCACATTTTCCACTGCAAGAAAAATAAATCTAAATCAATACAGCAACTTCCAAGCAAGAAATATTAGATTAAAGCCTATACAGTAGATACATTCTATATTAAATCAAATTACTTATATTAAAAAATGTAAAGTCAACAACTGACAAACTAAGGCACACGGTATTTATTCTGACAAAGTTGATACGCACATGATTTCCTGTTCTCCTCCTTCTCTCTGTACAGTCTGTTGACCCGCTCCACCAGCTCCCACTTCTCACAGCACCCTGAATAGTTGACAAAGTTCCTGGCAAGGATCTCCTTCAGCTGCCTGACAGACAGGCCCTCGATGTCCCGCAAGCTGGAAAGGTCCGAGAGAGACCCTCTGGCCCGACGCCACGACTGAGGACTGACCTGAAGGAGCAGATATCCAGACATTAGGGACAAAACAAAAGCGTACCTTGAGATTCCTCATGACAAACATGGGAGATTAGCATCATGCAAAAACAGTGAGTGGGATAGCACATGACACGCAGTGACAGAAATTTATGGGCAGAATGATTTCACAATGACAGCAGGAAATCTGATCGGTCACAGATCACCTCAGGTGTGTGTTCACTTGCATCCAAGTTGAGGAAAGACACAGAAGTGGCATCACCTATATCCTGCAACGCAACAGCAACAATCACCAACATTAGTGAGCACTACATGCAAGAGGAACAAGGAAGTTAACCGAGGATCAGGATTAGACAATATTCAGCTCACTGACACCTTGGGAACAACAATGTCTCGCACCTTCCATTCATAGAAAAGCTTACTGCTCCCTAAGCGGGCCAAGTACAAATATTTATAGTGGATCCAAGCTGATTGAACCTGAGCTCCCTATATAGTGCCTGCTATGGTGCTTCTTATACTCTTTTACTTTTTGTTTCTCTGCTTTCTTAAAGAGATAATTACAAGGATATGGCTGATGTGTGGTGCTATTAAAGATCATACATGGTTTAAAGTCGGTCCTGACCTGGTTGGTATCAGAGCTATCACTCCTGCTGAGGTGCTGCTCCTCCTGAGAGGCGACTAACGCAGACAGCTCGGAGGCCGACTGCGTGGTAAAAGGAGTCGGCGTGTACAGGGAGCGCGAGCGGAGGCTGCTCATGTCGGGCTCCTCCACTTCCTCAATGCCTTGGTGACAGAGCACCAAGTCCACCAAGTCCTCTTTTTCCCTGCAGGTATCGGTCGGGATGTTACGAAGCAGCAAGTACTGACGCAGGTCCCGGACTCGCAGGCGCATGAGCCGCGGCCGCTGAAAGGCCGTCGCTTTTAGCAAATGACATGTGGCACAAATGCGCAGATTCTCCTGAAGCACGGAGCACAGAGAGCAGAAGCTCTTCTTGCAGTCGCAGCAAATATACTGCAGGAAAAAAAAAGGTAATGGGAATGAGGTAATTTCAGATTGGGGACAACTTCTGCCAAAACTGCCTGAAAAAAAGAACTCGGCATTTGACATAAAAATGTGGCCAAACGTTTTTAATCAACCCTTATTTTCAAATGTTAACATTAAAGTGTGATATGACATTAAAATGAGGAAAACAGGAAGAGTGGAGAGACAACATTTAACTAATTACTGGAAAGCATATCAATGCCAGTAGACCGTTCCTTCATTATTCAATCACTCACATCTGCTCTACCTCTCCAGGCACAGAGACAGGAGGCAGCTCATTGCTTTTAAGTGACAAACATCAAACGGTAATAAATGCAAGACGTGGGATTAGACTGGCACAGTGAGCGAGTGAAGCACAGGGTTCAGACAAAATGAGACCTTGAGCCATACATGAACATGAGCACTCAGTGAAGATATTACAGAGTGAGTATGGTGTCCATCTGTCTCTGCAATCAGCTAGAACAACACAGCCTTTTCAGTAGAAATACAAAGCCCCTGGGTGTAAATTAAATTAATCCTTTTTTTTTGCCCCTCTGCTTCTATGCACCTTTTCCTTTTAAATAAGTCAGTGGACTAATTAACATACGCTGGCATCACACAGAGGATCCAGACACCTACCTTCCTCTTAAACACTGAGAAGGCCTGACCACAGGCCTTGCATACAAGACTGGGAGTCCCTGAGCTGGTGGGCGGGTATGTGGAGTATCCCGCACTGGGGGCAAATCTGAAGGGTCCAGCACCGGCCCCAAATCCTGGCTGCTGGCCTCGGACGGCCCCAGTACCCATGACTTCATTCAGCAGACCACAGCATGAAGCCCACATGGACGAGGCCCCTGCCTGACAGTCAGAAAACAGTATTTACCACTTTCACATTCATCTAGTTGATGTTGAAGACTGTAGCTACTAACTACAGCATGCTAAAAGCATCATTCATGCACATGGTTAACAAGTCTTATTATTTGTATAGAGCCCACTTATGGGTGCTTGTTATAGATGAGGTAGTGCTAGTTTAGTTTAAAACAATAAAGCACAAACCATGCAGACAGGAGCAAAAAGCCAGAACTGTCAAAACACTGCAACAGAGCAAACAAGACAATTAAGCTAACGTTAGCTGCACAGTTAAACATATTTTTGATAACAAGTTGACGTTAAAGTGGCAAGACAGCAGAAACATAACGTAGATTAAAATAAATTTGCCTACATATCTTTAAGCTTAACATTACAAAAACGTCGATGTTACGTGACAGCTGTCAGAGTCGCTGCCTATTCGACCGTTATGCTAGCTAACTAGCACAGGCTAAGATAAAGCGTTTCATTAGCTAACGTTAGTTAAAGCTACCGTTAGTTAGCTGCTGCTAGCGACAGTCAAGCAGAGCTAACATTGGATCACAGGTTACGTAAAGAAAACGACACCTTCATTGCAGCTCAGGCGCGTCTAATGAGAAAGTGGAGGTTGACGGTGTTACACCGTCAACCTCCACTTTGACGCAACATGGAGCATCACTTCTAATATGCCTGGATGTGTCTTGTCTCGATGTGATAAGAGCAACGGTGGAGACCCGAACACTGCTACTGCTTCTTCTTCTTCTTCTTCTTCTTCTTCTGTCTGATGCTGCTGCAGCAGCCTGTAGGCACCGACATAGTTTTGCTGCCCTCCACAGCTCATAAGTAGAATTGAGTTTAGTCTACTTGACCCCGGTCAGGAAACACTGTGCAGGTGTTGAGTCTAATTATGTTTTTTAATTAGCAAACACCGCAATTCTGTCTCATTGTTGGTTCTGACAGTCTATGGTGTGTGTACCGATTTCTACCAGAACTATCTGACTGTTACGTAAATTATGTGACATTCAAGCATTTTTAACTTCCGTTAACGCGACTCTCCCTTCATACGGCTCTGCCCACAAGGGCTACATTTCAGTCCGCGCCAATAACAAACGTCTCCACCTGATGACCTAGGACGCCGCGTCACCATGTTTTGAGTTTCAGCGCGTCCACAACTCTTCACTTTACATATATCAATGGTCCACAAGCCAAACCCAGGAAAATAGTTCCCATTTTCAGGTTTAACGATGGAAACCAGAGCCAGTGTCAGCTCGATGGTCATGTATGAGGACGAGTCTGTTGATGTTCGCTACGGAAACGGAGCCCAGTTACAACTGTCTCCGTGTGGCTGTGAGTTCATGCTGGTTAAACCCACGGATCCCTCCGGACATCCTCTGCAGTCCACCGAGAGGATCCGACAAAGGACAAGATTCACCATCAGCACGTATAAGGTGCAAACATGAAGTATTATTGGTTGGTAGTCCCAGTTTAAAAAAAGGCTCAAATTGAGGCTTGCTGGGGAAAAATGTACACAGTTAACTTAGGCTGTCATGTGTATTATGCAGAGAGCCCCTGTATTCAATATGATGGTGTCATTTTTGCAGGAGTTGATGGTGGCTGCATTGGCATTTAGGAATAAATATGCTACTCAACCATATCTGCCGGAGGAGCTCATCCCCGTTGACCACAAGAAGGTACCAAGAGCTCGTTCCTAGTCCACTATTAGTACCTCAAATTATTTTAGGGAATGATATTTGCAGCCTATTTTTTTTTGCTTCTCCTCCTGCAGCCTTTTTTCAGCATTGACTCTGACGTGCAGTGGCCTGAGTGGTCTTCTTGCGATGGTGAGCTGGGACCTGGAGGAGAGACTATCATCGGGTCGGAGGGAGGACGAGCTGTGTTGATGCTGTCGCCCTCAGGTGAAGAATTCTCCGTCGAGTTTACATGCAGCCTCAGTCAGACTCAAAATCAGCGCCGCATGGTGCAGGGCTTCAGCAGAGACTATGACAGCAGCTCAGGCATTCGGCAGCAAGGAAGCAATCTGATCTGTCACACCACGGATGGCGAGAACCAAGAGGTTCATCAGGGAAGAGGAAGCACAAGGAATGAGTCTATTAGACCGAGGTCTTGTTCTCCTCGCATCATCAGCACTGCTCAGCCAAAGGTAGTGCTTCACAGTAATATTTCTTTGCTTGTATAATGGCTTTGATTCAATATTTTACCTTCCTCCCCCCCAGCCAGAGAAGATGTATCAATCCACCACAGTGGTCCAGCATCACTCCTGCTGCGCTGTTGCCCCCATCTGGTGCTACCCTCTCTCCTTGGCCCGCCATCTCTGGACGGCTCATCTCTCTAAACCCGAAGATGTCCGAGTAGAGGGAACCAGTGATCTCGCAAAGGCACAGGGGAGAATAACAATGTCAGACGTATCCATCAAAGAGAGACGGTCTCACCTTCCTCAGGCGCTGCCTCTCACATGTTCATCACCTCACTGGCACAGGTTGAATGATCAAGTCACTTGCGTAAATATCAGACATGTAGAGCACTATCTAACACTGTTCACCGACTGATTTAAGCTTACTTACTCATTTATTTAAGGTGGAAGGTTAAAGAACCACTGGCCGAAAAAGAACATTCAGACCAAGATCTTCCAACAGAGTTGGTGAAAGTGATGTGGTGTCAAGGAGTCACCTACAGGTCAGTATGCAGGTTTTCAGGTTCAACAAGGACCGTAAAGATTTTGTGCTGATTCTGATTTTAAACGGCTTGTTATGATAAAACATGGCAATATAAGCTTGTTTGCAATTAAATGAAGGGATGCCTGATATATATACTCAGCTGTGTTGTGACGGAGTTGACCTGTATGTCTCCTGTGTAGGATACTGAGTGGGGCGGTCTCAGTCATTGAGGTTTGCCCGGGAGACGGATCAGTCATCCGCTCCAACGGTGTCCTTAACACTTATTTTACCCATTACAAACCTGATCTCCTGTCACGGCAGGTAAATTTCAGTCTCTCATCATATAAGTGTCTTAAATTTAATTAAAATATCCCCAATCGGGCATTAATCAATTGTGTCTATCTCACAGGCGAAAGAGATAACATACCACCTGAACAACCTTCAACCGGACGTACCCGGACAGCTGTACTCTGTGAGCTCGGTTGTGAGTCGTGCAAGCAGGTGAGCCGCTGCTTCATCACAGTCGGATGATTTTGACGACTCGCAGTCAATGACCGTCACATCACTGTGTTTCAGGATCCTCACTTGCTACGACGAGGCCAAGCAATCACTGAAGCTCCCTGTCACTCCCAGCTGCTTGCAAGATGTCAAAGAAGTAGTCCCTGCCCACATTACTTCAACTGTTAATATCTGCGGTATTTACACAGTGTTCAAGCTTCTAAATTGTTGGCAATTTTTGTTTCCAGGGGAGACATATTTCTACACCAGCAAGGATTGAAGAAAATCTGGTTGAGCGGCGTGTAAATGTCACACAGACGGTAGAAAGTCGGTGAGTTATATTTTATATTCTTTTAGTATTTTATCAATAAATGTGTAATTTAATATTATTTCAATTCCATGTAGGTCAGATCTTGTAGCTGCAGAACTGGAGAAGATAAAACGATTTAACTGTATCCTTTGCAAGGGGCTGTGGACAAGTTAGAAATGTTATATTATCATATCAGCTGGTAGATAATGCTGAGGAACATCGTGCATGCTCTTTAACAACCTGTGCCCAGTTCTGCTGGACAACAACCACCTGCTAAGAAGTGAGAAATGTTGTGCAAAACCGGAAGGTAGCTCTGCAGAAGAGGTGACTCATGAACCAGTGAATGAAAACTGCATCGCTGAGGCTCTTCAGAAGACATCCAAAGCCATACAGGACATTGATGCTCTCATATCTGCAGCCACACTGACTTGAGAGAGTCCTGCCTAAGAGAAACGTTTTCAGAATACAAAACCCCAACGTATTAGTTTGATACCTTTTTAAAAGCTGTAAACCTGTTTTACTGCTTTTTGTTGAGACCGAAATAAAGATTTTTCGATATCGATGCTGGCACATGGCTTTTATTTTGGATTTACTATTAACTGTCAAAGGTTGTATTTAACTACTGACTGCCAAAACTACAAACTCTGGCATGACTCCAAACAACATTCACACAGATAATGTTTTCCCAGTTGCTGATTACCATGTCTTTATCACCACACAATCCCTTCCTGTCAACTTGCAGTGGTAGAAAATAGCTTTAACATTTATTTCCTGCCTACACACATGACACATTCTGGTTGCAATGTAAAAGGTGTGACTAATAAAAAAAGACCTCAGTTTTGACTATTTCTGTAAACGTAAGTGCATGAGTGTTAATGTAGGTTGCTGTGGTGTTCCTTTGAACCACATGCCTCAGGTGCAATGTACATGTCAGGGACCAGAATCTTATTTTGTAACTGTCTCCAAAATGGTTTTATGAAATCATTAAAATAATAAAAGGAAAACTGCAAATTCCTGCTCTTAGGAGAAAGGATTCCAGTGTTCAAAGCCTGCTGCATGGAGTCAGTAATGGTACTTTTAAGTGCATTTTGTATTGTAAACAAGAGTTATTAATCTGGTATATCATTTCATATGCTATGACTTTTATTCTCTATATTTGGATCAGAACATTCCCGTTACAGTCCGTCTTTTTTAACATAAAGGTCACAAATTCTCAGAAACTGTCACAAATGTATGTCTTGAACTATTGAATCATTCATTTTCAAAGGCTAATCAGAAGGGAGGATGTTAGTTGAATCACACTAAGCAGACACCACTTGCCTTTTCTCACTCAGTTAAGAGTGACTACTTCCTGCATAGGTGGAGCATTTTTCTGTAGTAAACAGCTGTATCACACAGCCTCTGGCCACACAGACACACACCAGCACTTCAAACCAGAATCAAAGATCTGGTAAGTGGTTACTGACACATTTTATTCAAGCAATTATGCACTTTGTGAAATCCTCATTCATAGTTCTCATCTTTTTGCCTCCTGACGAGTGCATGTAATGTTACGTATGTTCATGCTTGTTAATCTGTAACTTTTGTCTTGACATTACAGGATTTAACAGGATTTTCTTCCTGCTCTTTAAAGGGAAACAGCTATACATCTCGGGACTCATGGCTCAATTCAACACAAGTTGCAACTCTTTGCCAGATGCTTCCTATAAACCCACAGTTCGACGAAACGTGCACGCTGTATCCTCTGTTCAAGCTAAAATAGCTGCCTTCAAGGGAAATTTGAAAACACAGACCCAGGAATTAGATGTGCCTTCGTCTCCCAAAGTGAACCAGCACAACAAATTCTCTCTGGCACAGCAAAGTTTGAGTCACAGAAATGATGGGGTGGTAGACATCATCAGCACTAAACCTCCCAAAACGCAGAAACCCAACTACATCAGAACATGTGGAACCCAAAATAACCTCCAAAGAGAGAGCACTGTTCCTGTGAAGAGGCTTCCTGCTGTGCTTGCTCTGGGAAGTCCTCCTCCGAAGCCTCTGAGGCCTCCTAGTGTAGACATTCATCGATTCGGAATAAATCTAAAATATGCCAATGACGGTAAGAAACACCTTTAAATGCTGGATTGTTCCCACACAATTGTTGTGTCTTCAAATACTATAATGTAGTAGAATGTTCATTGATGGAGTGTTAAATTAAGATGGCATTTTGGTGTGACAGGACTGGGGACGAAGATACCACGTCCTGTTGCTCCTCCGCCTCTACCTCCACGTCTACATCGGTGCCCATCATCCAGCCATGCAGCTACTCTGTAAGTGTCCATATTGTAGAGCTGCTGTAGCAAATTATAACAGCATCTGTCATCATGGTCGTTGGTTATGACCTTCATCAAACTCATCCACTGTGGATTCACGGTTGCAGTACTCTGCCTGCTGCTTCTCACAGGAAGCTGTTGTCGTTTGTCAGATCCTTAGTCTCATCAATACCCTCGAAGAAATGTGACTTTTGTTATGCACACTTGCAAAGATAAAATACTTCCCAGTCTGCCCATAAATTGTTTGAATTGATAAAATCTCTTTCTGACCATAATCAAGGAATCAACAGGATGAGAGCTATGAAGATGGCGGCATCATGAACCCTCCACCGCTCCCCCTTGCAGGTCGTGCCTATGTTTATATCATTTTACTCAATAAATTCACCATTATTTTAATCAGTGAATTGCTGAATTACTTGTTGCTTTGTTTTCACAGAATATCCTTTAAAGAGGGCAGAGGTAATCTATTCATCCTGCCAGTGACCCAGGGTGATTGGTTCAATGAGGAAATTATGTTTATGTTGACTGTTAGTGTTCATCACTTTGATCTTTTTTTGTCTCTACAGGCAGATATGAGAGAAGACTTGTACGAAGAAGTCAATCATAGATGGTAAGAATCAGGCAGAAATAAGACAAATATTGAATTGTATACTCGCATACAATATATATATTGTTTCATTAAAGGACGGAACAAGCAAAGAATCGTGGAAGAGAGGATGCAAACCATGGCAAAGTCGCAGAGGAGAGACAGGTAGTAAAGTTTCAGTAACTTTGTATATTGTATTAAGTTTATACTTGCTACCGAAATGGTGCATTTAAAACAGTTTTGATCCAATGACAACAATTGTAATCAGAAGCCAAAAGGAACCATCGTCTCAGAGGAAATTAAAGGGCAAGAGATAAAATCTAAGACAGAGAAGAAAAAGAAGAGTGGCCAAGAAGCAAACAAGACGTTCAAGGTAAAAGCACAAGGTCTATACACATACGTATGCTTTATTTATATCTGATGTACCAACACATTTAAATACACTACCACCGTGAAAGCAGTATGTGCAGATGTCATTTCATGCAAGTTGCAGAACAAACCACAAACACCTTAATAACAGGGATCAGGTAAATAACTGACATCTCCTTATCTTCAACTAGATTAAAGGACACGTTCACCTAACCACAAAGAGGAAGGAACTCGTTGATGTTAAAGGAGGAAAGGCAGACTTGTCTCTGAATCAAGGAGAGATTATAGAGGACGTCCACAAAACGGGTAGCCCAGAGCGACAACTGTGCTCACTAACAGCAACACAATGTAGAGGACGAAGAGGTGATGGTTGAAATATACACTAACATAATGCCCAAGCAATGATCTATGGTGATGTTTTGTCATATGTTCTTTCAGATGACTATGTGAAGAATGAGTCTGTCAATACAGGCCATGATGATTTAAAAGAGGAGGAGGAGACCGGGACTAGGATTTACCAGTCTGAAGCAGAGTCAGCCATCTATGATGACATCAGAGAACCAGCTGAGGTTTGCAGGTGCAAAATGCCTCTAAAATACTCCACAAACATCTTTAAAGACAAAAATATATGTTACGTTTCTCAGTCACACATATGATCTCTGCTCATTTTACGATTTTTTTAACGTCCTTTTTAGTGGACTTAACGTGCAACATTATCAGCGGTTTGTATTGTTTTAATTTATTTTATTTAAATATGACAATACACATTCACATTTTTTTCCTTCTTGTTTTTGAAACAGTCAGAGAGGATGATGTTAATGTTGATGTTGATAATCCAGACCCACGGTTGCACTCTTTTTGTATTTGTTTTGAATGGACGGATCACATTTGATCATTCCTTACTCTAGAAATTGTAGTGGCTGCATTTAAAGTAATGATATGGGAGACAAAAGGTCAGTGTTTAACCAAAAAATGTAAGTAATTTCATTTAAAAGAACCAACCAAATTGATCTACACAGAAATAAATGTGATTTACAGTCTAAAGAAATGCTCTTATAGTGCAAGTGACAATAATTATTTAAAATAGTTAGTTACATCCTTTTCCAGTCCGCTGCAGTCCAGTTTGACATAATGCGGATTGTTATGTATGGGTGACACCTAGTGGTTGACCTGCATATTGCAGCTATCATAAACTGCTGCCATGTTGCTTTTACAGCTGAAACCTTGAAAATCTCAAATATGTGTGAACTAATTGAATACAACACAATGCCTTTATACAAATAATAGCTACTGGATCTTATAATGTACACTTTTTGTTGAGACCGAGTCAGAGAAGTGTTCATTTTACACCAGGACAATCCTTTTTGCAGGTGTTTATGGTATTCTGTCCGTATACACTTTATTTAAAACTTTTAGATTTACAACTTTCAGTTCTGATTAAACCGCATCACACAGCATCTTCATAATGATTTGTCTCTTTTCCCATCAGAGTTTTTCCGCTGCCACAACCAAACACAGATGGAGGTGAATGTGTCCACATTTCTTCTTACGTGTTTGGCACTATGGAGGACATGGCAATATAACATACTAAACATGAATTGTCTTTGTGCCCACAGATGGTGTTTATGATGATGTTGACTATGAGGAAAGTGATTATGTTACTGTCAAAGAAGGTATGTTCGAGTTACTCAAAATATAATATCAATAGACCAGCGGTCTGAGGTGGAAAATTAGGCAACTCAAGTACTTGAGTGCAATTTTGAGGGGGGGGGGGGGAATTATATTGTTATTTTTATTCCACTGCATTTTATTTATTACTTGTTAATCTGCATTAACACATTGGAACTCAGATTTTACAACAACAAAAAAACATTAATTTATAAAATATTAATTATTTTTAAGTCAGTCAACTGATAACTATTCTGTACTTTTACATAACTTGAATACAGTGTTTTTACTTTTACTTGAATGGAGTATATTTTACATTGTGATAATGTAAAGGATCTGCATACATCTTCCTCCCCTGCAGAACAAATATTCATTGGGATTCATTGTAAACAAAGATTAAAAAGAAAAAAAGATTAACCTACTTCAAATGTTTTCGTTTTTCTACAGACTGTATCTATGAAATAGTCTAATCTACAGTAATGACTGTGACAATGTAAAGGGAATGGATCAGAACCCTGGATCATTTTAATGCCATTTGCAATGTTTGTACATTGTTGTTGAATCTAGTGACTGTCATTTATGTTTCAAATCACTGTGCATTTTCTTGAATAAAGATTCTCTACATATATAATGCATGTATTAATGGAGTTATGATTTATACGTGATATTGGTCATTATAATGATGCAAACCCTTTTGTTACTTTCACTTTATATTATTCAGTTTGGTGGCGCTGAGCTTCTAAAGAGTCTTTGACCTGCTTTTACAAATATGTAAAAAATAATTTCATCATGGTTTATTCATTGGAAATTGGAAAAATTACAATGTTATATCGGAGATGAAAACTGTCCGGTGTCAAGCTGCTCGCGTCTTCTTCACTGACCATAAATCAGTCTAGATCAGATTAGAGGGGAATTGAGCAGGATCCACCTGATCTCAGGTCGGTGGGAAGTCTGCTTGCTTACTGCTCGCGACAACCACCCCCCCCCCCTGGCTGTTTTCTTGTCTCGCGCGAAGCCGCGAAGTTTCCGGTGTTGTGTATGTTCCTGGAAACATGGCGGCCAGCTTCCGCGGCCGTCCTATCCGAAGTCTTCGGATGCGAGGTGAGCATGAAAAACTCGACACGGTGGTGTCTATAATCGTGGCATATTACAAAAATACACGTTCTCGTGCACGTGATGACCCCGGTGTGAGCCCTCACCGTGTCCCCGGTGTGTGTGTTTTTTTTACAGGTCGAAATGACAGCGGAGAGGAGAACGTACCGCTGGATCTGACCAGAGGTAACGTGAAGCTTCATCACATCACCCTCAAAGAGATTATTGCTCAAAATGGATGAGGGGCTCCTCTGCAAACACTAGCCCTATTACGTGGAAATGCAGTTAGTCCGTGCAGTTGTCCTGTCACTGCTGTGGTCTTTTCGGTTTTCTCTTTCTGTTTCGTGTAATAACAATGCGGTATCATAACAGGCAGCGGGCTAACTAACTAGCTGATTTAGCGTTAGCTAGCTTTCAACGGCTAACCAGCCATGACGACGCTTTGTTGTTTTGATTGGCGTGAGTAGCCTGTTATTTAGCCAACGTGCTGTAGTCATGCATCGGTCATCTGCTGGCTGTGTGATACATTTGGTTACAAGGCTGTGAGATGAGTCGCGTTTAGACAGCGCAGGGTTTTGTTTTTTTTCTGTGACTTCTACAGCAGCAGCACTACAGCAGTTTGTTTACATGGAGCAGCGGTCTGTAGAACCCAGACACCGGATGGTTTTTATGATGTAACCGTGTAAACCAGAGGATATTTTGCACCCGAAATTGCAGATAAATGCAACACCAAAAAAAAAAAATGTTACGGCCAATACGGATGGGCTCAATCTGTGAGCTGTTTCATCATGGGTTTGAAACATAACTGTGTGAAGGATGTTGGTCAACCTCAATGCTTAATTTCAGCTCAGCTCATTGTGTGTGTTTGTGTGTAAAACATTATGGTGGTTTGTCACAAGAGTTTTTGTACGATCCCAAAGCTCTGTCTGTGTGCAAGGATTCAAGACCATGAAGCCCAAAATGTCCAGGCAAAGTCCAGGTTGACTGTTGTATCTTGCATACACACTCACAGGGGACACACACTCAAACTAGCCCAAATTCATTTGAAAGAGAATTGCAGGTATTGATAGATTTCACATCACTGCCCTGACATCAAATGCACCTCTGGTTACCTCTTATTGGTTTAAAATCCTTTTCAATGCTTGTTTAATTTCTTCAAATCTAATATCACAGAGTCTTCGGTTTAGTAATTTTCTCATATCAATAAATGAAAATGTGTACATTTTTGTAGTTTGCAGTAGCCTCATATTTTAAAGGTTTTAATTGTTCTTTTCGTGTGTTTAAGTTATGGCTTTGACTGATGACTAATACTGATAGCTATTACTATTATTTGAAAGATTGAAACTAAATTTGGCTTATCCTCTGGTGAACTATGTTGCTGAGGAGAAAACACATCTAAAAACAACATCTGTCCAATGTGGTGATTTATTATTACAGAAGCACACGTACGGTAATCGGTAAACAAAAAAAGACTTCCTCGCTCAAGTCTTGCTTTTACTGCCTAGACCTTGTTTTGACTGTACACACTAAATATGTTCGACCAGATAAACCAACTTCCTTCCTGCAACATGTTAATTACGGTTCATCGACCGATATTATGGCACTATGGCTAAATGCTTGTCTTAGTTACATTGTATTTCCTTTTTCTTTCTCCGGCAGAACCATCTGAAAATTTCCGCGAAATCCTTCAAAATGTGGCCAAACCACATGGAGTCAGTAACATGCGAAAATTGGGCCACCTGAACAACTTCATAAAGGTAATGCTGTCAAGTTATGCTGTTTTATTTGTTACTCTGGGCAGAAGTTGACAACACTGAGAATGAGTTATCTACCAAAACCAACACCCCGTTGAAGCTGTGGATACAAACACGCAGCTTTTTCAAGAAGATGGACTCTCTGTTCTCACATCTGTGAAGACTAGCTGTGCTCTCCCCTCCTCTGTAGTGTCACCACTAACCTCTCCTTGATCCTCTCCTCTTGGGTGTTGCTGCCAGCAGGCCTAGCTGTGCCTGTCACTGTGACGCTGACAGTGAGTGTAACCGGAGCTCTAGGGATGGGAAAGCTCTCTGACCTTATGTGCATCACGAGCAACACTTTGACTTTGAAACTTGGGATATCTAATCTTAACGTTCTTATGAACCTCAGAAGCTCTCATTTCTAAAACGTCTGTTTTTCCCAATCGGTCGGTTTCAATGTGAGCGCTTTGTGCACGGATGATAAACGGTCAGTCCTGTCTTAGTTTTGCACTGCAGTGTTGATGGGCAAAGCAAAGATTCCCCGGTACATATGGTGCGATGTGCATCCAAATTTATCACAAGTCAATGAAAGCAACGTGTGTGTGTGTAGGTGAACTGAAATATAAAACAACTGATCATGGACAGTAGGAGGCATCGAAGCCATTTACTCCATCCTCAGTTCCTGCCCAGACGTTGCTGATTTCAGCTGAGCGACCTGCCGCTTTTAACCAAGTCGTCTGTCATGGACATATTTTGACCATTCGTTGGAAGCTGTGCAGCCAATAAGTGCTGGCCTCCAGAAAACTGCAGCTGCCACTGTAGCAGGATGAAGGCTGAGTGTGGGCCTAACTCTCTTGTTTACAACTAACAGGAGGGTAATAGCCATGACGAGTGAGTGTGTGTGTGTGAGAGAGAGAGCCCCGTGCCTCTGATTCCTTATAAGGGTTCCAGGGCTGCAAGGGTGACCTAACCCCCCCCAGAGAGTGTCCCCATCTCCTCTCCCCTCCTCCTGCCTGCTTGAGCTCTAACATCACAGCTGGTTTAAAACAACCCCCTACTCACCATGCCTCTCATCAGCCGACCCATCATTCTCCATCTCTCCTCCTGCTTTCCTCTGTGCTATGAAAAAGGAGAGATGAGGTTTACGGCCCACTTTAAGGAAGAAGATGCGCTAAAATTACCTGTTCAAGTCACCCATTGGCCCCTCTGCTGCTGCATCGGGACAAGCAAGAGTATACTGAACTACTGTGATGAAGTAGCGCTGACCTGTTGGGAGAGCTAGGGTGCCTCAGGGTGCAGATAAAAAAAAGGTGGCAGCTCCAAAATGGCAGCATCATTTGCTGAAGGAGCTCATTGCTTTGCGCATATAATGAGTTTCAGACTGTGCCGTTAGCTTTGGTCTGCTGGTTGACACTGACTGTCGCTGAAGGCTTATTGTTTCTAAAATGAACGGCTTTTGTGTGCATGGAATTTGAATCTTGTTTATACGAGCTGTGTGTGGGCTCCGTTAATGACGGAGGAGCTGTGGTGAGGAACATTCTAAAAGTGGCAGTTTCTGCTTTCCACTAAGCCTCATAGGGTACAGAAAGCAGGAACTAACAGGCTACAGGCAGAATAATACAACAGAACCTATTTCTTGCTTTCTGTTATCACCGTCTATTTTCATATACAGTGCAAGTGCACTCATAAACAACAAGCTGACTCCCACTACTGGACCTGTGAACGTGTTGCCCCAACGCTTTTGTGATTATAACCTCCATCTACCGCCATTGAAAGCATAACATTACCTACTCCAAACGAGTCTGCACTAAACAGACGAGTGGACAAATATAACAAACACACCGGCATGGCCCCTGCAGAACTCGGCCGGATAGTGTTGTACTGTTTGTTAGGTTAGATTGTCTGTTAGTTTGGTGCTTTTTTTGACTCAAACGTTGTAAAACATCGAGCTTTGCCGCTGAAGGATGGTGTCATTTTAGAGTTGCTGAACACTCTTATAGACACCTTGAGTGGCTGTAGTGCTACCACAATATCCTTGACCAAAGCCGTGTCAATGCATTCCTTGTATGAATCAACTAATGTATATTTTGTTCGGTCTCTGTGTTACAGCTGCTATGCAGCATTAGCCACCGTGAGGAAAACTTCGGGTTTACATACGAAGAAATCATCATTTGGTAAGTGACCAGTAGTCACTAATTGTACACCAAGTACTTTTTATCGACATGCTCATCTAAGTGTTTGATTTTGAACCTCTAGTCTGCGACTAGCTCTACTGAATGAGGCTAAGGAAGTGCGTGCTGCAGGGCTGCGGGCGCTCCGCTACCTCATTAGAGACACCACCGTGCTGCAGAAGGTCCTCAGACTACAGGTGGACTATTTGATAGCAAGGTGAGATCCTGCTCTGGAAACATTTCATTCTTTTCTCCTGCTTGCCAGCTGTAGTAACAAGAAAAAGTCATGACTAATTAAGCCTGTGTGCTTGTTTAGATGTATTGACATCCAGCAGAGCAATGAGGGGGAGAGGACTCAGGCTCTGAGATTAGTCCGAAAGGTAAGCTCATATGTATTTATGTTTTTATTCTTTATTCCATACCTTCATTGCCTTTCTCCAATTGATTCAGTCACTGTCATATTGCTAAAGAAAGATGCCCTCAGTGCTCAGCCTTAGTGCCACCAGAAAGATCATTGGGTTTAGCAGCAGTGTCAGTGTGTGGACAGTTTTCACAAGGTTGCAGACACAGTTATTTACAGCCCTTTCTGTAGTTTACTGTAAACTCTCTTCTCTCTCACACACACACACACACACACACACACACACACAGAGAGTCAGGGTCTGGTTTCAGAAAAGGACTATTGGCAATCCATGCAGTGAAACAACCCCCCTGTTGATTCCATGACACATAGCCTCTTATGAAATACATTTCTCTTATCACATTTTTGTTTTCTTAGAATGCAAAAGTATCTTCATTTTCTAGTAGTCCTAGAAAAACTGGCAACGCAAAAGCTATTTTTCTGCCTCTGTTTGGACTTGTTTAATGAATCTCGTCTTCCTCCTCTCCCTGCCTCTGTAGATTATCACTGTCAATGCGATGCTGTTCCCTTCCTCTGTTGCAAACTCTCTAATCGCCGTGGGCACCGATGGACTACAGGAGAGAGACCGCATGGTCCGCGCGGCCATCGCCATCGTATGTGAGCTAGGTGAGTTTCTGGCCCTTTGAGACGGAAACCCACAACGCCGATGTAAACGAACCATTCATTCTGCACACACTTTGTGAGGGAAGTCACGACAGAAATACCTCGTGAAAATACCTAGTTTGACACAAAAACTTGAAAAGCCACTAATATGTCTTTGTCGCCGACTGTGTAGCTCTGAAGAACCCAGAGGTAGTGGCCAAACGTGGAGGCCTCAGCACCATCCTGAAGAGTGTGATTGACTGTCAGCTGAGTCGCATCAACGAAGCTCTGATCACCACCATCCTCCATCTACTCAACCACCCACGCACCCGTCAGTACGTGCGTGTTGACGTCGAACTGGAGGTACACACACACACACACACACACACACACACACACACACACACACACATATATGAGTTCTGGGGAAGCTGCTGTTTCTAAATGAGCCAGTGTGCTGGGAGTCATTCCGGTCAGGATTAGACGCCGCAGGTTGCCCGTCTCTTTCCCATGGAGCTTACAGTAATCAGTTACAGCAGTTCTCTAAAGCCTCGTGGTCTGTAAACAGACAACTAGGACAGAAGCATTTCATCACCTCATTCATACTATCCACACGGATGTCATATGAGATCTGAGGCAGGTTCATAATCACTGCAAGATGTTTCGTAGGGGGTATTTTAGGAATGCTTCCCCTTAATGTTCAAGAACTAATGAAGTCTGTTGTGTTTGGCACTCATTCCTCTCTTGTCTGTGTTCGGCCCTCCAGCAAATCCTCGCGCCTTTCACAGATTTTCACTACCGTCACAACGCAGACACGGCTGAAGGACAGCTCAAGTGAGTGTGTGAAGAATGTCACTGTTACACTGGAAACAAAACGATGGTCGTCTGATGTGACCCTTGTTATCAGGACTGCTTGACTTCAGCATGACTTGCCCGAGGATGTGAAGCAGGCTAAATCACGATAATCTCTTAAATCACTGTGGAAGATTAGCTTTTATATAAAAAGACCTTTTTGTGATTCTCCCTGACGTCCTTCAGTGTTTTTCTTACGTGGTGTAGTTTGATCCCTTCCTTTGTGGTGTCATGTTTTTAATGTGTTTGTGTGCGTTTTCCTGTTCACAGGGAGGACAGAGAGGCCCGTTTCTTGTCGAGTAGAATGGCCATAGTGGCAGCCTTTCGCTCCTGGTCTGGTAAGGACTTGGATGTAGTAATAAATGTAGTTATTTGTAAATAGATTGACTTTTACTTTACTTTACTATTTGTCTTTCTTTCTTTCTCAGGGATTATCAACCTATGCAAGGCTGGAAATTCTGGAATCCAATCTTTAATTGGCTTACTTTGCATACCAAATATGGAAGTTAGGGTGAGTATTAAAACACTAAAATGCTTTCCCCTCGAACACAGACTGGCCAATCACAGCGTAGCAACGGCGAGTCTCCTCTGGGAGACGTTCACCTTCATCTGCCAGAAATCTCCTTCGGTTTAGGCAGCAAACCAACTTGGTTAGGTTTAAGGAAAGATCCTGGTTTGGGTTAAAATGAACCCTCTCTGTGGTCTGAGCTCCATAGACTCTCATGCAGTCGTATCAGATTTTCTTCATTTTCAGGCTGGATTTGTGGATTTTGAGCTCGTCATGGTTAAACTTTGTGTGTTAGTGATACTCGTTACCCAGAGAGGTTGGAAGGAGATGCACCTTCCTGAAACCTGACGTTTCTACATAAAGACCTGTGGAGCTCAAATGAGCAGAGTATGTTAGCACTGACAGTAAACTGAGTGCCTCCACTTGCTTTTGCTTTTTAATGATTGTAACAGTGAGTAAAGACCTACCCGGCTTAACAGGAACAGTGTTGTTCTGCCTCGCCAGCTGATGTGCTGGTTCACTCTTACACTGTGATCTGTCGGCTTTAGCTTCTATATTTATCTTTTTGCTGCTGGATCACATTTTCCTGGATTTATCCATAAACACATAGTAACGTTAGTGCTGATAGCTTGACGGAGTAGCAGTGGGGGGCGGGGCTTAGCAAGGACTCAATGGATCGGTAACTTGCCTGTAGAGATTTTGCCTCAACTGTCTACATTTTGCTGCTTTACTGTTACGTTCTATGGTCAACAGCCTGAACTCCTCCACGAGATCTATTACAGCATATTAACTTGTGTTGTTTTTTAACATGGAGTACTTTAAAAAAAAAAAAGAAAAAGAAAAGGCTTTTGCCTGTTTTTGGGTCGAGTCTGGTTGGAGTATCAGAGCACAGAGTGAGATACATACGTGTACTCGAAGGCAGCCTTGGCACAGGTTTTACATTATCACTCTGTTTCCTGTGGCTTCAGGGCAAGATTACGGCTGCTCTCTAGTAATTTGAGTCTTGCACGACACAGCCCCAACATTGAGATATTAGAAGTGCTGTTTTGAGCGCTCGCAGATGTAGTTTGTGCCGAGTCAAGTGTGTGTCTGATTGCTTCAATGTTGTTTCCCTGCAGAAAGGCTTGCTGGAGGTGTTATATGAGATATTCAGGCTCCCTGTGCCCATCGTAACTCAAGACTTCACGGAAGCTCTTCTAAGTGTTGGTGAGAGAAACATCTTTTGTATCTTCAGAATTCTTTTTTTATACTTCCTCCCAGCATCTTGTTCCTAGTAATTTGGGTGTTTTAACATGCAGTACTTTATTTATATGTAACTGCAGTTTGACTTTGTGGCCTTGTATGATCATGAGCATACTGCAAAGTGTTATTCTAAAATGCTTTGGTACTATTTCAACCCAAACACGTCCATGCTTCAGACACACAGAGTAAGCTCATCTTTGCTCTGGTCTTCCTCAGACCCCGCCAGGTTCCAGGACACCTGGAGACTCTCTGATGGGTTTCTTGCTGCTGAGGCCAAAGTCATCCTGCCCCATCGAGCCCGCTCTAGGTGGGAGATGATATGAGAGAATAGAAGTTGCAAATAATATGACAAAACGGCTAGTTCAGTGTTTATATGAGCCACGGAGTTATTCTTTTCCTGTTTGCGTCATTAGGCCTGATCTGATGGACAACTACCTGGCATTTGTTCTTTCTGCCTTCATCTCCAGCGGGCTGTTAGAGGTGAGCTGACGCAGTGTGTCTTCTTTAGACCGTTGCACCATAGGGCTGATATATCAAATATTCAGCTTGAATGTTTTTTAGCGGTATCGCACATCATGGCCTCTCTGATTGTATTGTGTTAAAGTTTCACACCATGTTGCTATTAAACTATATCCTCTCTGTCGTCACCATAGGGTATTGTTGAAGTTGTGACCAGCAGCGATGATCAGCTCGCTATAAGAGCCACTATCCTCTTGGGAGAACTTCTGCACATGGTGATATTAAAATGAAAATGCATCTCCAACACTTTTATGTTGAAAAGCTGAGAAAGTATTGTTTGCCACAATGAAATCTAGAGAACAAACTAAAGCTTGTGCTTGTCTGTCACAGCTACGACTGAGTTATTGTGATTCTAATGAGAAATGCATCCCCTCTTTTTCCTCCACCTGCCCTTCTCTTGTTTAGGCAAACACCATCCTTCCCCATTCTCACAGTCACCACCTGCACTGCCTTCCCACCCTCATCAACTTGGCAGCCTCCTTTGATATCGCACAGCAGAAACGACTGTAAGTACACTCAGAATTGCATGTGTGCATCTGTCTCTCCTAAAAAAAAATGTATTATTTTCAGTTCTCCCCAATCTATTTATGAGAACTACAGTACATATTTGTCTCTGAACTTCCTCTCTCTCATGAAGGTAAACAGAATGGCTCTTGTAACAGTGAACACAGTACAGAAGTGAACTATTAACATAACGTATGTTGACATTTTTCAACCTAACTTCTGAAAAATCCAAACATTCCCCCGTGTATGTTATCGTTACAGTCGGGCAAGCGCAGCAGTCAACAACCTGAAGTGTTTCCATGAGAAGAAGAAGAAAGGGTTGAAACCACACAGTCTTTACCTGGACCACATCATCCGCAAGTCTGTGTCTTCCCATAACCGCAGAGAGTCCCACTCTCGTGTCCACAGGGACATCTATGCCATTAAGGTAAACATGAACATGCTTTTTCCAGATTCTACCCTCTGTGTCTCAGCAGCATGTTGAAGTAGTTTAAAAGAACACATTTGGGAAACATGCTTATTTTCCATCTAATGTATCTTCAGTACGAAGTTCTGGGTTGTGTTTAGTTTAGCTTGGCACAAACACTGAAAAGTGAGAAGAAGCCAGCTTCCATCACAGATTAAAAAAGAACTCGCTTCTCTTGTCTTATTTACAGGTTTTCAGTGTTTGTTCTAAACTTGCTTGCACAATGTAAAGCAGATGTTTTAAAGAAATGAATAAAAATGGTGCAAAGCTATCAGAGCTGCATTATTATTAATGCTTCTTGATATCTTTACATCTTTATATTCCCCTTTTTTACTTGTCAAATCCCTGTTTTCTGTGTTTGTGTTCAGGACACAGAGGAAGCGCTGATGATGAACCTTAGAGACAGTCAAATTCTCAACCACAAGCAGAACCTGGAGTGGAACTGGTTGCTCATTGCCACCATCCTTAAGGTGAGGATGATGTCAAGGAGCACCACAGACTCTGTTGTGTATTTTTTTTCCTCTTCAATGTTTAGAAGTTGTTTTTTTTCTCTCCTAGTGGCCACATGTAAACCTCAGGAACAACAAAGATGAACATATGCACAAGTAAGACTCCTTCACATATCATCAAAATACTTTGACTTATTTTACTGACCTCTTATTTTAAATACCTTTTATTTTGTGTGATGCAGGTTTGTGCGAAGGCTGCTGTACTTTTATAAGCCCAGTAGTAAATTGTACGCAGGGCTGGCGTTGGATCACCCAAAGGCCAGACAACTCACTGTGGTTGGCTGTCAGTTTATCGAGTTCCTCATGGAGTCAGACGAGGTTAGAGAAGTGTGCAAGTACACGGAAAAACACACGTACCGGTTTCACCTTTTGTCTTTCTCTAACTTGGCTCTCCTGTCAACCCTTTCTGTCCTCTTCCTCCCGCTGTCACCAGGATGGCCAGGGTTACCTGGAGGACGTGGTGAGGGACATGGTGTCATGGCTGTCCTCGTCCTCAGGGCTGAAGCCTGAGCGCTGTCTGCAGAGTAACGGTCTGCTCACCACACTCAGCCAACACTACTTCCTCTTCCTGGGGACACTCTCTGCACACCCGCAGGGAGTCAAACTGCTGGAGAAATGTGGCCTGTTTCAGTGGTAAGTGTACAGACATACTGTAGAATGTGAGGATTTCAGAAATGGTTGTTCGAGAAATTGACGAATTCTATTGAGGTTCTGCCGACAACTCCTTTGTTTTTCTGTTTTTTGCAGCCTGCTGAATCTGTGCTGTGTGAAGAACCAGGATGCTGTGCTGAAACTCGCTGTATCCACACTGGACTACAGCAGAGACGGTCTGGCCAGAGTGATCCTCTCCAAGATCCTCACTGCTGCTACTGATGTAAGAAAGCCACACCAGCAAGAGGGCGTCTCATACAACCACAACAAATAAATATGTATAAAGCAGGACATGTTTACAAGTATTCAATCACCCCAGATTGTGAAAATTATAGAGTTGTTGGATACAAAATGATGCACTCTTCGCTGCATTGTTCCACCCACAAGATCTGCACCCTGATGTCCCCTCTTTCTCCCACAATGGCTCAGGCGTGCAGGTTGTATGCCACCAAACACCTCCGTGTGCTGCTGCGTGCGAACGTGGAGTTCTTCAGCAGCTGGGGCATGGAGCTGCTGGTCACACAGCTTCACGACCACAGCAAGGCTGTGTCCATGGAGGCCCTGGACATACTGGACGAGGCCTGCGAGGACAAGGTGACTGCCTGAAGTACTGTTGAGTACTGTCAGTACAGTTTGTCAGATTAGGATGCATTACTCCCTCTCTTGAGCAGTAAAAAAGAACACTAACTTTTACTTAAAGTGTTAATGGATATATTAATTTGAATGTGTTGAAATGCAAATAGTTTGAGTGGATGGTGTTTGTCTGACAGTGGCCGTGTGTCCACCCTTCCTGTTGTCTAACTCGGTATGTCGTGCTGCTTCACAGGCCAACCTCCACGCTCTAATCCAGCTGAAACCAGCTCTGTCCCACCTGGGCGACAAGGGCCTCCTGCTGCTCCTCAGGTGGGTGTTTACAGCAGCGCTGCTTATCAGAAGTAGCTGAGAGTAAATCATTTCAGTCCTTGTATGTAGTACAAAAGCCTTCTTGAATACACTGTTTCTGCTGTTTAGGTTCCTGTCCATTCCCAAAGGTTTCTCCTACCTCAATGAGAGAGGTTATGTCAGCAAACAGCTGGACAAATGGCAGAAGGTATTATCAGGACATTGGCATACAGCACAAAAAGAAATTCCCATTTAATTTGGCTGCTATATTATACTAAGACTACACTTCAATAGAGGCTTCCGTTTTACTTTTTGATTGCAGGAATACAACCTTAAGTACGTGGACCTGATAGAGGAGCAGCTCAACGAAGCACTAACAACCTACCGCAAACCTGTCGATGGAGACAACTACGTCCGACGCAGCAACCAAAGGTCAGAAGCTGGAGTGTGTCATCACCTGGCGACAGGTCACAGGATACGCTGAGTGTGAGCCTAATTTCTCTGGTTGTGTCTCCAGGTTACAAAGACCAAATGTCTATCTCCCCGTGCACTTGTATGGTCAGCTGGTCCACGATAAGACGGGCTGTCATCTATTGGAGGCTCAGGTAACTGCTTCAGGCTATTTATTGGCTTTCAAATCTTTCATTTTCTACATTCGCTGTCTGGGGAGCGGTGGGTTCTGCAGATTTAGCGGCCTTTCTTCCTAACGTCTGCCTTTTTCCCCGCCTGTCTCCAGAGTGTGGTTCCTGACCTCAGCTACACGGTTCGCTCCCCGATGCTGGACACCTGGGAGGGCATCAAACAGCTGAAGGCTGCTCTCTGGGCTCTGGTCAGCATCACCTGCTATCAATTTATGTCACCTCAGCTACTCTGTCCCGATAACAATAATAGCTACAAAGAGATGGCTCTGGTTGATTTGGGTTTTTTTCCCCATGCAGGGCAACATTGGCTCTTCAAACTGGGGACTGAATCTCCTGCAGGAGGAGAATGTCATTCCTGACATCCTCACATTGGCTCAGCACTGCGACGTGCTGTCAGTACGAGGGTAGGCTGATCATTTCACAGTAAACTCAAAATATCTATATATAAACTGTCTAGAGTAAAATGCAACAAATAGAAACGAGCTGCTTATGAACGCCCCCAAAGGCATTGGGGCATTTAAAAATATATCTGCATTGTTTGATTTTTGAAAAAGATCTCTATTTTTTAAATACTCTGGTCTCTCAGTCTGCCAAAACTATTGAGATGAGGATTCTGACTCCAGCTGCCCCTCAGAAATTTTACAGAAGCAGGATGTTTATCTTTTATTCAGCTACATTGGATTAGTCATGTAAAACATCTTAGTCGCGGAACATCTACAGCACAAACCAAGCAATGGCACATATTTCTGAAAATATGAAATAGGTCAACGGAACTCAATTGTACATTTGTTGTGTTTACTAACTGTCCTCTCTCATCCACAGGACGTGTGTTTATGTGCTGGGTGTCATCTCCAAGACCCGGCAGGGTTGTGAGGTGCTGAAGCAGTATGGTTGGGATTCAGTCAGACACAGTCGCAGGACGCTGTGGCCTGTCACTCCAGAAGAGGTCGACGCACCGCTGACCTCTGAACTCTCCTCAGTACCGAGCACGCTCAGTCTGAACTCTGAATCCACCAGCTCGCGCCACAACAGCGAGAGCGAGTCTCAACCAAGTGCGTAGGACTTACTTTGTCTGTGCTTTATTGCCACTGTTTGTAGACAGACACTATCATAGTAATCAGGTGTCTTTGAGGTACCCTAGGTATTATGATAGATGTTCTTATGCTGCTATTGTCTTCTTAATTCACCCCTTGTGCTCTCAGACATGTACATACTGGACGATGACAAGTGTGATTTTCTGGACCAGTCAGACGAGCCCAATTTCTATCTCCACTCCAAACCAGTCAAGGACCGCAGCCCCTTCACCATCCTGGCCTCCACGCGCTTTGTTCGTACTCGCTTCCTCAACTCCCTGTCCCTCCCCAGCAAGAAGCTGCGCTCCACCAGCGACCCCAAGACCCCAGCAGGCTCTCGCACACCTACTGAACTCAAGACGGGGAGTATGAGGCGGAACAGGACAGTGACGGAGCCCTCCGTCTACAGCCCAAACCAGGGGGACGTCTTCACCCCCGTGTTTAATGGCAGAGGAATGCCGAAGAGTCCCACGGTCAGCCTGGAGACATCCTTTGTTGGGATCAGGGGGGGCTCTGAGGAGCAGCTTGTGGAGGGCAGGCTGGCCAGGGGAGGAAGCTCAGGCCTTGGACTAAGTGGTCTAGCAGGGCACGGGGCCGTGGAGCACCCCAGTGGGGAGAGGGAGCAGAGCAGCCGAGAGCGTCTGGCAGGAGATGGGGGCTCCTCGTCTAGCGGAGGCAATGTGGGAGGGGGCGTAGGAGGCGGCGGAGGTACTCAGTTTAAAAGCCGCAGCCAGAGCTTTAACACGGACACCACAACCAGCGGCATCAGCTCCATGAGCTCCAGTCCCTCCAGGGAGACGGTGGGAAACCCCGAGAATCCAGAACCCGAACCAGACTCCTCCGACTGCGTGAGCCTCAACACAGTGGTGTCAGCCAAGACTGTCAAAACGCTCTCTTCTCTCACCCCCCAGGCTCAGACCAACCACATGTCCACGTCTAAGTCCTCAACTGTCTCTCTGGTACCGCCTGGCTCCTCACACACTCTACCCCGACGAGCTCAGTCCCTCAAGTCTCCTTCAGTGACCACAATCAAGAGCCTAGCGGACTGCAGCTTCATGTACACCAGCCCACGGGACGCGCTGGGCTACGCTACGCTGAAGAGGCTGCAGCAGCAGAGGATACACCCGTCTCTGTCTCACAGCGAAGCTTTGACTTCACCAGCCAAAGACGTGCTGTTCACCGACACCATCACTATGAAGACCGGCAGCCTGGACTCCAGATTAACGCCTCGCAGGTAAGTCAGCCATCGCTACAATGTGACAGAAAGCATCTGGATTTATTTTGTTTTTGAATATGTTTGTCGTCACATGAATGAAAAGATGTGAATTAAGTCGTTTTAGAGACAAACTCTAAACATGACTCTATTTTTGCTGCTGTAGCTCAAGCAGCTCTGTGCCTAGGGTAGTGTTTGACTTCTGTCTGCGGTGGCAATGACAGGTGTGAGTGTGTTTCTTGTGCACCTTCTGTGTCTGTCAGGATATCAGACAGGAGGGGTACCTGTCCAGAGCCCAGCGTCTTAAGTCCGTACCGCAGGCTGTCCAGAACACTTGCACCGCGGTGGGTGGACCGACCCAGTGTCCTCAGTAGAGATGTAGCTTCTAGCACAGATCCAGACAAAGACGTCGTCGCTCTAGCTCTATGCCTGCAGTTGTGTTCCCATTGCTTTGACTCCTGCAGTCCTGTAGTGTGAATAAGCCACGTGTAGACGGTCAGTAGCTGGTTGTTCCCTCCTCCTAGAGCTGCGACCCTTCCTAGAGGTAGAGATCATGGTAGAAATAGGTGACATGATATTGTGTTTGTTCTGATTTTAAGTGTTTAATTGTCACTCATCCATGTTTAAACAAAGGTGGCTGAAGGCAGGACCAACATATGTGTAAATGTAGTGTGAGGAGAGCTCTACCTCTGACACTAAAGTGTCAAAGTGGAAGGACATCAGCTCTTAACTCTCACTGTATATTAAACTCTCTCTTCACATTCCCCGTGAAGCATTTGACCCATTATAGTTATTTGATAATAACTTTAAATTTCGGGTGATGGATTAACAGTCTTGCACAGCATTTAAATCTCATTCTATAGAAATGATGAGGAAAAATGTATCAATCAAGGTGGAGTCAGCGATTCTGGAGAGAGATTGTTGATATTTGAATTTAACACCCAAATAAATATAAAATATTGACCCTCCCTCTCGCTCCCACTGTCTTTCTCTTTGTACATCCACGGCCTTTCCCCCGTTCTGTCCTGTGCACAAGCACAAAGCTCGCTGTTGCTGATTGGCTGGAATAGTTTTGTGTTGCTTTGTCCAACCAACTTTGTCTGTTTCCCTTTTCCAGGGCCAAAGCTGTGTACCAACACCAAATCTTTTTTAACACAATTTGACAAAAAGGGTGTTGGATTAGAATCCCCGACTGCACCTTTAATCGCTTAATTAATCTATTGATTTTTTGTTCTGTGAAAGGGAAGAAAATTGTGTATCACAATTTCCCAAATCTTATGGTTTAAATTGTCTGTTTCGCCTCGCAGGTAAGTCAGCCATCACTGAAGATGTGAATGAAGTCATTTTTGCTGCTGTAGCTCAAGCAGCTCTGTGCCTAGGGTAGTGTTTGACTTCTGTCTGCGGTGGCAATGACAGGTGTGAGTGTGTTTCTTTTGCACCTTCTGTGTCTGTCAGGATATCAGACAGGAGGGGTACCTGTCCAGACCCCAGCGTCTTAAGTCCGTACCGCAGGCTGTCCAGAACACTTGCACCGCGGTGGGTGGACCGACCCAGTGTCCTCAGTAGAGATGTAGCTTCTAGCACAGATCCAGACAAAGACGTCCTCGCTCTAGCTCTATGCCTGCAGTTGTGTTCCCATTGCTTTGACTCCTGCAGTCCTGTAGTGTGAATAAGCCACGTGTAGATGGTCAGTAGCTGGTTTTTCCCTCCTCTAGGTATTTTTCATGTGTAGCTTTAACTTTCTAATCCTTGCTTTAGTGTAGTTAAAGCTGTGTCTCTAGGTACTTGACATTGCATTAAGACTGATATCACACTGTGGGTTTACCTGAAGCTGCTGGCGTGGTAGCTTGCTGCAGTGGTTCAGGCTTTAGAGCCCGTCGTGATCCCAACTTCCTTCTAACTTTCTGTTCACTAAGTCTGTGTCTCTCTGCTTTTATCCAACACTTTTTTTTTACTTATTCCTCATGATCCTTCTTCTGTCCCAGTCTCTCCCCCCAGATCCTCTCACGTACCTCTCCTCTTGCCCTCCCTAGGTTTCTGAAGGCTCTTAGCTTTGCCTCTCTGGATAAAGAGGATCTACTAAGTCCCATCAACCAAAGCACTCTACACCGCTGCTCCTCAGTGCGCTCCATGGTTTCTAGCGCCACCTACGGGTGTAACGACGACTATGTTGGCCTAGCGCTGCCTATGGACATCAACGACATGTTCCACATCAGAGAATCGGCTTACTTTCAGCAGAGGGTCAGCCCGCCGTCGGAAGAGCGGAAACGCTTCCTCTTTGGCGATGGAGACGGTGAGTTCAACTTTATGCCTGATTTTAAACATTTTAATTAAAACAGATGGTTGTGTTTGTGCTCACCCTGGTTTTCCCCCTCTGTAGGTGATCGCCCTGCTCTACCATCACTGAAGCAACAGTTTAGTATCACTGAGCTGATTGTGTGCCGAGGTGATACCCAGAACCACACGGTGGGTTCAGAGGAGACGGGGCTGCAGGAACACACTGAAGAAAACTGCCTCTACTGTGTAGGAGCCAGCGTACTCGGATACCCCACACAGCCACAGATCAACAGCACACACCCTCGGACGGGTGAGCGACACACACACACACACACACACACACACACACACACACACACACACACACACACACACACTCTCATTCATTCACATGGTCATACTTTAAACTCTGTGCAGAATATAACAAATTATGTTGTTTTTTTTTGTTTTTTTTTGTCAGACTTTGTTGACTTCCCATCATGGGGAGGGCAGAGCGGCCATCGTCTGGAGGTGATGCCTCAGTCCAAGTTCTCCGGGGTGTCGGGCTGCAGCGACGCTGCTGTGTCACAGGGCTCAATCTGTAGCACGCCCACGCCTAATGATATTGTTATAGGTAAGACCACGAGTAACTACAACCTGCAGGGGTGTGAGGTCCATGTTTTACACAACAACAAAAAACATGTCGCATTTGTAAAATTACTTTTTGTTCCTTTATCGGGTCAGTGAAGCTGTTGTAGTGTGTGTTTTGATTCTATCAATATATAATTAGTTCCATAACAAAATAAACCAAAAAAGGATTTTCTGCGTGGCACTGCTTTATATTGTATTCATTGTGGTGAATATTGAATGTTTGTAGGCAGCAAGGCAATATCAGAAGACGGCCCCGCCTCCCGGGTCTTGCTGAGGAAGGAGGTGCTCCGCCTCATCATCAACCTCAGCTCCTCTGTAGGAACCAAAGGCCACGAAACAGGACTACTGACGTAAAGCTCCCCCTCCTCTTTATTCTCTGTACATTTTTTGAGATTCATGTTCAATTGCAGAACAATAGAAGTTGTTTTTTAACTTGTTCTTTCCTGCAGCATAAAGGAGAAGTTTCCCAACGCGTTTGACGACATCTGCTTGTACTCCGAGGTTTCCCACCTCTTAGCCCACTGTATGTTTCGCCTGACGTCAAGACGTTTCATACAGGAACTCTTCCAGGACGTGCAATTCATGCCTGTAAGACATTATACCCCAGTTCTTCTGCGTTTTCTCAGACTCTACATCTTTGTGTTTGCCATCCCATGTATTATATTCCTATTTCCTTTTTTCCCAGATGTATGAGGAAGCAGAGGCAATCCTGACGAAGCTACCAAAACCTGTTGAAGAAGATGGTGACCCTCCTGCAGAATCCTGATCATCCTCTCCCTTGTGTTCCCTGCACAGCCTCGGACCTGCCACCCTACATACATGGAAGAAAAAAAATGACCGATTAGTATATAAGTTATAAGGTTGGGGAGGCGTCTGGCATGTTTCTGTTGCTCAAAACAGAGAACCATAGCCGAGGAAGAGGAGGAGGTGGTCATTGCTCGCCTTTGTTGGAAACGGAGGATGTCGATATCTGTAAACAAAATTTAACCCGACACGCCTAATGCTGTTTAAGACTTTTTTTTAACAGGAAAAAGGGGGAGCAGTTTAACCAAATACTGTTTTCAGATTGGTTGGCAATCTTGAGCAACACTCAATAATACATCCACATAATGCTAAAGGACAAGCGGGATCATTAACACAAAGACTCACGTGTTTAAAAGAAGTAAAAAAAACAAAAAAAAAAAACAAATTCTATCAACATTTGATCTCTTTCCAGAGGTGGTGTGTGTGTTTTTCTGTAATGAATAAGGCATGTTGTTGTGTCTACCCAGTGATTCCTCGGACCCCCGCGTTCTTTTTTCCTTATGAAACAACACACTACAGAAGGGGTCCTGCTGTTTTTAAAACTTATCCGGAGCCTCCCTGGTTCATATCCCACCCCGACTTGTGATCTGTTCTAGCCAGATATGTGCTTTTGCTTCTCTTGCCTAAACACTTCCTACAACCTGTAGCCTCTCGTCCGCACAGACAGCCAATTACTTTTCTATTTCTTATATCTCAGACAATCAAACATCACTAGTATTGTATTTTCTAAAGCACTATATATGCCACCCCAACACAGTACATGAGGAGAATAGCATGTAATTCCAAGCTAGTTTATGCCATCCTTTACTTGCTGAGGACCTTTAATGTTTTTCTTCAGCCATTGCATTACTGGTAAGCTTCTCAGAAGGTGGGTTGATCTTTTGGAAAGATGCTCAGTTGTACAAGTTGTCTGTAGAATGATTCATTACAGATTTAGTACCAAAACCTGCATAAGCCCAGCAGCTACCCCAACTCTGTCCCTTCTTACCTCTGTGCTTCACTTCCACTGCATGTGCAACAAGCATGGCAAAGTTGTAATGTCACCTTAACATGTTTCTTGCTTGTAAAACTTAAAAAGATAAATAAGTAGGTTGCCATTAAATGATGCCATTACATTGTAGGAATATAATTCCCCCTGAATCTGTTTCCACAATGCAATATCACTGTCTGTCATTGGCTGAGATGGAGAGAGGGGGGGGGTCGTGATGATGACTAAAGGATTTGTAAAAGGTTTCCAGGGAAGCGGGGGGATCTCTGTTTCCATTGGCTTGTTTTTGCTATAATGCTGCTACACAAATGGACTCCTAGAGAGATGATTCATAGATCAGCTGAGTAATGTCAGATCCGATCTATTTATTATATGTCTGTACCATAGAGTGAGCTCAACCAGAGAAGAAAAAAAGTTATTTATATTTTTTCCTCAAGACTGTATTATAATTTAAACTTTGTTTTTATTCTTTTTTTTTTTTTTTTGCCTGAATTGTGGTTTCCCTTGTATAATGTGTACGGTATGTTTCTGGGGGGCATTGATGACCTAAAGAAACATACAATCATATCAAAGGGATGCATTGTTAATAAAACAAAATTTGAAATACCCAAAATGTTTGACACTTTCCTCATTTATTTTTATTTTTCATTTGTAAGTCATATCTGAATTTACTCATGCACGGCGACTCTCAAATGTAAAAAACAAAACTAAAACATAGTTACAGCCAAGACATTAAAGATCAGCTGTGACACGTATGTTGGATCAGGAGACGGTGACATTTAGAGCAGGATGCTCTCGTGACCAGACAAATATTTTGCCTCAAAGAAAATGTAGATATAATAGAAATATATCTGCTATTAATAATTATATATAGAAATCATTGCATTTAAGTGTCTGCTCAATTAGCTTAAAGCATTTGCTAAATGCTGGAAGGGCATTAACAGGTGGTACACATAAAAACACATGGACACTAAAATCTGTATTTATTTAATTACACAGCCAATTGAATTTCAGTCATATTTTTAAGAAGAGTATTGTATGGAGGCTTGTTTTTAGTACCATAAATAACTTACGATGCCAAATGTTTAAACGTATTTAATATTTTGTCACTGATTGCACATTTTACAGCAATGCCACCTTACTATGAAAGAAACTATAATATGAGGAGCTGGAGTGTGTGTTCCTCTGAATTCACTCTTAACAGTGCTGAATGTGAAGTATTCACACACCAAAAAATTACATTCAATACAAAAAACACAAAATGACTAATTCAAAAAACATTCATTGACTTCCTGTCCCATATACTTCCACAATTGAACAATAACTATAGTGCTTTTGAAGACAGGTGTGTCGTTTTTCCACACTGTGACAGGAAGGTTGACTCTCATTGCAATAGCCCACTCTTGCACTGCTCAGAAATATTGCACAACTGTTTGTTGTTGACTTTAGTCCCACCGTCCCATTTCTGATTCAGGTACATAGTTAAGTTAATGATTTCCATACAGAGACAAACACATGACTCTTTTTTTGCGATCTCTGTCCTTTTCTGTGTCCATCCTTGTTCAGTTACAGAGGTATTCACTCATCAGAGCTTAAAAAACTGTTCTGTTGTTGCTGCTCAGAAATGCTCAATTCTCTCTTCTCTCTCCTCCTGTTGGTTCTCCATAATTTGTGAAGGTCTGTGGGCGTCTGTGGGGGCCTTTGTGGAGTTTGAGTCCGGGACCTGTTTTATCTCATTGTCTTCATAGCTCATGTTATCATAGATTTGTTTCATGCCGTTTTTCAGCTCCAGCTCCTGGTTGGCCTTTGCTTTCTCCTGCTGGAGCTGCAGCAACACTGCTTTATTCACACCAGGACCTGAGAAAACAAAACATCAAGATGTGAAAAAAATGTATCCTGTTTTAATATACAGTAGTTCTTCAAACCTCTTTGTTGCATAAATAAACAGGCAGATACAAAGTACATACCAAAGTAGCTGAGCAGCACAGGGAGGAATACGAGTCCGTGAGCCATCCCCAAAAGTGTAATGACAAGATTTAATCGGAAGAAGAAGATCTGAATGAGTTGTGCTTTGGCAAATGCCAGCACAAGGATGCCCGGCAGGTTGGTCATAGCAACACCAGCAAACACCTAACGAGTACAAAACAAATACATATATATATATTAAACAAATATTACACCTGTTTTTGTATGTGTATATTTATACAATCAACTGTGTGTGTCACTAAAAGTTAATTTTTATTTTTCTATGTGACTGTCGTGACCCCTTCGATCCACTTGGGGTCTGTCTTCTTTGTCCCAGCCGCTATTTATCTTTCAGGATCTGGGTCGTCAGCTAATGAGCAACACCTGGACCTGGTGTGGTTCTGGCTATAAAGACTCACCACCTTAACATGGAGTCCCCTCCCTTCCTTTGCTGACACAGCTGCTGTTTGGTTTAGCGGCAGATAGTGTCACATTACTGATTACAGACTTCGATGGTTGGTTTATTTATTGTTGCTTTACTAATTTTAACTCATCTGATTCTTCATTTGTGTTGCAGTGTGGAGGTCTGTAATCAGTAATGTAAGCATGTTTGGATGTGTGAAAATGTCTTAAACAAAACTTTAAAAGCAACCAGGTCAGCAAAGAGAGAAAATGGACTCCATGTTAAGGTGGTGAGTTTTTATAGCCAGACCCAAACCGGGCCCAGGTGTGGCTCATCAACTGACGACCCAGATCCTGCAAGACAAAGAGCTGCCAGGACAAAGATCACAGTGAATCAGAGAGTTCTTCACAGTGAGGGATTAACAGTGTTCACTTACCGCACTGCCCATGTTGGCTGTAGCCTCCTTAGCTCGCTCGACATGTGTGGGTTTAGTGCTGAGTGCAAAAGCTCTTGTCATATGAGACACAAACTCCACAGAGATTCCCACCGCCTGCAAAGAAAGAGAATGTAAGGACCTGGTGAACAATAGCATCTTTCACCAGGTAGGAACCTGGTGAACACCCACGCTTTTCAAACTCCAAACCTCCAATTTGTAACACAGGCTTTCTATCATAAATCTGAAGTCTCCTAGCCCAAGTCAAGATAACCCCGTCACCATGACATCTTTAGGATTTTTTATTTTTTTTTCCAACTTTAAAAAGCTCCCTCTAGAGAGACTGGAGACATTGTACAGACATTGTCCTCACTGGATGAGTAGTGCCCCTCATGACAAGCACAACAAGCTTAATTTGGACAATTGGTGGAGTGTGTCTTTAATCCCCATCACAGACATGTTCTTACCGTGACCAGATTGATGAGGGCCACTGCGTTGTAATCGATGCCCCACAGTGTCATGACACCAACGGTATCCACTGTGATCATGATGATGGTGATCAGGTTGAGCAGACCAGAGCGCAGATCCAAACCCAGCAGCAGACAGCACACTACGAAGGTCGGCAGCAGACACAAGGAGATGTTGAAGAGTCCCTCTGGCACAATAGTCAGGTACTGCTCATAAAATACATTAGTCACCCTGGGAGAAGGAGGGAAGACAAATATTAGTCAGAAATGACAAGACTGCATACGTTTAATGACAATCACCACGTCAATAATGAAAAGAGCCCACAGAGTTGTAGAAGCAATACTGGTTCTTGTAGAGGAGGGAAGATTAGATGGAGTGCTGGAAGTAAAAGTACATACGTGTAAGGAAACACTTCAAAGTCAGGTGAGGTGCCTGGTATTTCTCTCATGCCCATTGTGATGTTGTGGGCCAGCTCTCTGGCCATCAGCAGTGCAGCAGTGAACTCCTGAGAGTTGGATAAAGGTGTGTGGTAAGCCATGAACCGAGAGGCTAGGAACACAGGGAAGAAAAGGTTCACTTACTTCACCGTTTCCATTAAAAGAGCTTTAGACTGCTTTAAGATGACTTACCTATTATTTCTCCACTCTGATCTTTCACCACAGCTTTGTCATAGGCTCCAAGACCACTGTTAAAAGGGTAGATAAGCAGTGAGAAAGATGTTTTCATGTTCTATTGTTTTTGTGTATAATGTGCACATGTTCCACTAGCATACACACCCTTTGGGGCACTGCAGGTCAGGCCTGTTAGCCAGAAAGTCAGGGAGGAAGCGGTTGAATTCTTCCACATTGGGCCTGAGGACGCCATCTGAAGGATTACTCATACACTTTCCGGGACAGCGGAAAGGAGCTGTTGAAACATGGAAACAGAGCAGGTGTTAATAAAAGAAGGGTAATGTCTTTCATCATATCAGGAAATTCACAGTTAAGAATGTGTATTAATGTGGTGATTCTCACATTCGCTTGCTGGACAGAACTTTCCAGCATTTGGACCGAAGGCATACAGACGACAACATCTGGATCCAGGGTTCAGCCAATCAATGAAATCATCCACCCAGGAGTTAGCAGGAATAGCCAAGTAGGATCTACAGATCACATCGTCAGTGGGTTAAGGAAGGCAGGAATATAAATGTTCGTATTTTAGAATAAGACAAGTATTATTCTAAATCTTTCTTGTAACCAAATCCCACGAATAGAACAAAAACAACAGTGTGTTTGTCCGTCCATTAATACTTACTGAGATGTAAATAATGTCTGTATAATAAAAATCAAGCTACAGTTGGCAGCTAGTTAGCTTAGTTTATCATCAAGACTGCAGGAGAGACAGATCTGCGTCACAACTTATCTGTTTAGTGGAATCATACATATTATACTGCAGAATACAGGCATAAATGTAGTACTCTACGAATCAGCCTGACCATAACCACAACACAATGGTTTGAATAAAACACAACCAGTCATTTTAGGGGATTTCTTTAGGTGTTTGCTCTCTGGCCCGATCAGTTAGAAGCACCCTTTATCTGCTCAGAGGCGTTCATGTAACCAAGTTCATCATTAACTGATCTGATTGGCTAGTATGTAAGAGGTTGCTACTATGGTATCAACAGGTTCAAGGATCTGTCAATGAAAAATACTAACGTGAAGGACAAAGGGAGAGAAACACTACACTGAACTGAGCAGAGGAACTGGCTGATGTACTATAGAGTTTAGCTGAGCAGCCACATATTGTTAATACTGTAATAAAAAAAAGGGTGCCTGTCTAAAAGCTTATCGTTTCTCTTGTTCATATTAAGAAAATTAAGAAACTCACAATTCAGGGTGGTTGGTGGCGTACTGGATCTTCTGGGTGAGTGAGAACTGATCGCAGCCCACGCTGGAGCAGGTTGCATTCATGCCCGCCACAGTGGTGAAGTTGAAGCCCTTTTTTGTTACGAAATAAACAGGGACTCCAACTTCAAAGTATTTGTACAGATACTGGAAATAGTCCAGCATATAAGAGCCCTGCACCAAAAACAGAATAATCTTTGTAAGGTTACACTGAAACAGGAGTGTGCAGGCATTCATTTCTATATATTTATGAAGCAGTGCTTACTGACCTGAGGCATAGCCAGCTCCTGATCCAAACCCACGGTCACATTAAACATGAGAAATATGGACCCACAGAGCATGAAGATGAAAACCACCATCTGAAGAGAACACAGGGCAGAATGTCTTCAACAAATATCCAGTTAAAAGGCCTTGGTGCATGATAAGCAAATAAATGTTTTATGAGAACATGAGTTTATGTT